AAAAAGGGAAATAAATATTTAATTTTGAATCATTTCATTATTTCGTATAACGATGACCTTATCCATTTATGCAAATGTCATACGTATTGTAATGTTCTTTGAGCCCAAAAGAAATTTTTCCCATCTATACAGCAGCTGATAACATCAAACGGCCAAGGAGGTCACAAACGTATGAATTTTTGAATATAGGTAGCTTTCCATTCGTAGAGACCGTGAATAGGCATTCAATCCTTAGCGAATCTGGGTAGAAGTGGAACGCGTGGCGCATCCCCAAAGTTGGCTTCATCTAATAATTTTCTCTGCTACACCCGCATTTCATTTGAGAATGAAAAAAAAACACAAAGAATTGCTAAGGGCGGAAGTGGTGTAGTGGCAAGTGGCACGCTTACCACGCGAGCGGTCCGGGGATCAAATCCTGGGTCGTGAGTCGCCCGGGCCAACCAAGCCTTCCATCCCTCCGGGGTCGGTTAATTGGTACCAGACTTGTCTGGGAGGATAAAAACACTGACTTGTACATCGGCTGGCCCCCGCAAGTCATTGTATAGGCCACATCGCATTCAAACGCCACTACGAATGTACAAATGGAAGTAGAATGCGTGCCGCATCCCAAAAAGGGATTGATCAACGGCAAATGCTTTATCCTTTTTATACAAAGAATTGCTAAATACTTGCGATGGACATGTTCCCTGTGGTTATGGGCACTCTGTAACTAAAAAGTGAAATTTTCTCAAATTCATGTGTTCATACTTATAGAACTCGACAAGCTGAGGCTATTGGTAGGAATTCCTGTGAAAAATAGTGATCAATTAAAAACTAAAAAAAACAAAAAACGAAAAGGACACGGTTGCGCTCCCTTCAAAGTTATGGGAGGTACTGTGAGCAGGTTAAGAGGTCAGAATTACGAATCGACACTTCAGCTGTTGGCTTCCACCTTTTTCAAATGCATGGGAAATCGGGATAGACTTTCTTGTTCCCAAGTCCTCCACAATTCTCAGCCTGATCGCAGCTTCCCAGGCTCATCGTAGGAACCAGATATGATCTCATTTACTTTGACAGGTCTTATTCGCCTACAGTGAATAACTGCTAGTCGCTACTCAACATTCATTCATGAAACCTCAAAAGAACGATTGACTTACCGGAAATCCACATTCTTCATTTGAAATTTCACTTCTACAATACCAGTAGTTTTTATCCGTGAAAGCAGAATATCCTGCTCAGTTGGTTTATAG